TGAGAGGCACGCCTAGCTTGGCGTCTAAGCTCTCTTCTCAGTTTCTCCTTTTGGTACCACTCGAGCACCTCGCCCATTTGAGCAAAGCGGGTGTCGCTCTCATTGTCATTATCATCATGAGTATGAATGTCCCCTCCGTCATACGGGGTCTCCTCATGTCCCGTATCAGGAACATATGTTGAATCATAGTTCTCGGTGTTAGTTTCATACACCGAACTCACGTGGCCATCGCTCACTGTTTGGGTCCGGTGGCCCCCACGGCCTACACGGCCTCCTCTTCTTCCCCTAGAACCACGGGATGTGTCCCGGCTAGCCCCTACTGAGGCTCCCGCAGCAAGTCCCCTAGGGTTGTTCCTCGTCGTCATACGTCTACCCTCCATTTCTACAAAGAAATTTGAACGAGTCGTTAGACTCCAATAATTGTCAATTGACGGAACACGTTATAGACACATATTGTCCCAAGTCACCGCCATACCAATTGTTAAGGGTACCATCTTAACAACTAGAAACCTTGTAACCTAGGTAACAATAGTTCTATGAACGTCAAAATACAATGCTCATGATTTTCGGAAAAAATCTTTTTGTAAAATCTCATGTGAAAGGTTGAATACATAGTTTAGAACTAAGATGGCTCTCATACCACTTAATTGTCACGCCCCAGACCGCATCTAAGCGCGTGTACAACCGCCGATTGATTAAATGATGTCACTCGCAAGTCAACCTCACATAATCACACAAGGCGTTCATGAACATCGTTCACACCATACTCAGTAGTAAACATACATAACAACATCATATCATAGATTGAATGAATAGCGAAAAATATTCAACGGTCAATCATAAGCCACATATGGCAAAACGTAGGCTCGCAGGCCAAAACAATGTAATATTACAAAAGTATCCATGAGCATAGTTTATGATTTAAAATAATAAAGGAAGCACGAACCACGTCTTCTTCTTGATTCTTTCCACCCGTGCAAAGGTGTAGACAACAGGCTCTAGCTTCAACCTGAAATGGTGGCCCCCCCGAAGGGGTCAGTACAAGTACCGAGCGAGTAGCAAGCTAAATGTAGAGTAACTAACGTTTCAAGTATAAGACCCAAACATAGGGTGATACATATACTTATACTTCCTTACCCCAAGTTACAAAATACATATCAGTACTTATATACACTTGGAAATACCCGACCCGTAGGTCATTGTTTAATTGGGAAAAATAATAGTAGTCAATGTCCTTGACTTAAAACCCCAACCCACCCATAGACCTATGAGTGTATAGGACTCCTCATGTCCAAATCAAATAATCATAAGGACACCGCCCGGTCATGAATTACTAAATAGTAATCTATGAGTTTTGAGGATACACGCCCGATCCTTGGGTACTCCACCCTATATAACCGAGTTTTGAGGATACCGCCCGATCCTTGGGTACTCCACCTTATATAACCGAGTTTTGAGGATACCGCTCGATCCTTGGGTACTCCACCTGACCTATGATCTACCACATATCATACTAGATAGGGCCTATATCATAATCAATAAAAAAGACTAGACCAAGTCTTAAGCACTAAACAAAATCATCCATGCAACTCATGCATTAAAATTAGCATATAGGTAAAGTAAGGCCAAACCGGCGGCGGTCAACTTTTGGTTGACCCGCCATTCCAAATCCAATGTGTGTCAAACTTAGTTACAATATGTACTAAGTTATAAATAACTATTTTATGCACATTTCATCTTTACATATATCACATATGTTTTTATGAGCATTTTCACTTCACAAATCATGCATATTTCAATAGTTCACTTCATACAAGCCTAATCACTTTAATTGGCTAATCACATGTTTAATTCATTTAAACATTATTATGAATACACATAACATATACTTAGGTAATCTCATGCTTAACCCAAAAGTTACAAGACATTAAGCCATCCTCTCACCTCAAATGAGCTTTAGGAAGATTCTACTCTTCTTAATTGAACTCCGTCGAGACTCCGGCGAACTCCGGCGAAACTCCGGCGAAATCTATAACCACTTTAGTCAAGCTCCTAACATGGTTTTATCATTACAAAACCCATATCAACACAAATAACCCCTAAAGGTTATTTTCTGGCGAACTGGTCGTTTTGGCTTCTAAGTCCGTTCTTGGACTTAGAACCACCTTCCAACCACTCATTCTACACTTCTAAACATGTAGAACAATACTAGGGGTCCTCCATAGGATATAGAGTTCATATGGAAAACAAATGATGGAAGAAAAGTTATTAAAGAACTCCTCACCTTTATTTTCCAAGTTTTTCTCTACTTTTGCTACTTCCTTTTCTCCCTTGAGTTTCTTGTTGTTTGAGCTTGCTTTGGCTATGGAGAAATATGGTTGTGAAGTTTCTTGCTCTTGATTGGGGGTGTTCTGGCCGAACTGATCAAGGGAAGGGTGGGGGTTTCCTAATTTTTGTCTCAAAGGTATGAGTGGTCTGGGGGGAGGCCCACCCTTTTTGTTTGATGCCTTTTATTTCCTTCACCTCACACCTCTCCATGTTCCCTCCTCATCTCAGCCGGCCAAATCTCTGATTTGAGTGGCCAAAATCGTGGGCTGGCCCCCACCCATGTGGGAGGTCAACCTTTTTTGTCCAGAAGTGTACAATTGGTCCCGAAAGTTGTATTTGTCGGACTGTTTTAATTATATTTTATTTTATTGGGCCAAATAAAATATATTGTGTGATTTCAATCACTATGGAACTTTAGAATAATTGTAGATTCCCAAAATTTAATTTAGAGGTCTCCGAAATTCAATTCGGACTGTTATCCGGTAAATTACCAATACCGGTAATTGGGCTTCATTTGAGCGACGGGTCAACCCTAAGCCCTTTTAATGTCCCAACTAAAATATATACCATCATATAAATTTTATCTAGACCAAGATGAATATAATATGTGGTCCTGGGATTACCGGATAGTCCCCGCTCCCGGTGTGGGCCCCACGTGCAGTTCACTATTCACGTGAAAGAAATAACCAAAAATTTACAACCACGTAAATTCATAAATCAATATTCAAGATTTATTACATGATTTACTAAAAAGTAAATATATTTGGGGACGGTGTTACACTCTTCCTTCACTACAAAAAAATTCGCCTGTAGTCACGGACTTAGTCACGGACCGTAGTGTAAAAAGTCCGTGACTAACACTTTTAGTCACGGACTTCGTCCGTGACTAGTTCAGTGACTAGTTCTGTGTGACTAGAATGTAGTCACGGACCATTGGCCGTGACTAGGTGTAGTCACGGATTAGTCACGGATCGACGTCCGTGACTACATCTTGACCAGAATAAGCCTCCGGCACGTTAGTCACGGACCATATCCGTGATTACTTTTAATTTAAATTTTTTTGAGTTAGTCACGGACACGAGCCGTGACTAAGTTCAATTTATTTTTTTTTTATTTTTGTGGTAGTCACGGACGTATCCGTGACTATAATAAATTTAAAAAAATTGAATTTATTCCGGATAAAATGTAGTCACGGATCTGGTCCGTGACTAATGTTTTGGTTTAAAAAAAACAATTTTAAATAAAAAAAATAAAAAAACGAAAATTGAATTTATTCCGGGTTAAAAAGTAGTCACGGATTTAGTCCGTGACTAATGTTTTTGATTTAAAAAAAAACATTTTTTTATAAAAAAATAAAAAATTATTTTAATTTTATTTTAGAGCAATTACAATAAAAATAAATTCCATACGATCTTAAACATAAAAAATGTTATTACAGACAGAATTATAAAAACAAAATTCATACAATGTCAAACAATATAATGTAATTACATGCCCGTACGTCGGACTCCATTGTGATAATAATTAGAATCATCATAATCGTATTCATCATTATCATCATAGTCACGATGATGATCCTCTTCTGCATCCACAGGGTCCAAGGGTCGGGAACTTCCTCGGCTGCCTCGGTTGCCTCTTCGATTGCCTCCTAGGTTGCTTCCTCGGTGGCTTCCTCGGTGGCTTCCTCGGCTGCCTCCTCGGCTGCCTCCTCCCGATGTCTGAAACTGATTGAGCATATCAGGCGACAGAGATCCGAATGTCGACCCTATTGCAGGCATGACACCATAACCGGAGTTAGAGTGGTAACCCATACCACCCATGTGCGGAACCTGAGGAGTCTGCTCAACGTGCATAATGTACGGCCGAGGATGAGGCTGAGGCGGAGGCTGATATCCAGCAAGGATCCGTTCCATTGCTTCCAGCCGGGCCCTCGTTTCTTCATCATTCTTTCGTTGCTGTTCAAATTGACGTTGCTGCTCCTCCAATTCTCGCTGCAATTGGGCAATGCGTGGATCCTCTCTTCGCCTAGATTGAGAAGATGATGAAGCTCCGCTGCCGCTGCGATCGTACAAAATACGTTGCCCCTCAGCCCCGAGGCATGGAAGCCGACCCTTGTACACCCCTGTTGCCTCAAGGATGGCATCATCTTCCACATCAGAACCGATGTCATCTTCTTGAGTCAAGCCAAGTTCCGCCCGCTTCTTTTCAACATTTGCGTTATACTTTGTCTACAAACATTTAAAAAAATTATTCAAATGATATTTACTTCAATTTGAAATAAGAGTATTGATTTTGAAATAATAGTATTGATGTTACATACTTCGATTTCAGCAAGGCGGGGGGTGGTAGATTGGCTGGCGACTCAACACCGCTCTTCGTCCAACAGTGTTTGATTACACTGAGGATAGGGACCCTCTTCTTTTGAGGCCCCGCCTACAAGGTTAGAAAAAGGTTTAAATAAATGTAAAAAAAATAAAAGGTTAAAATGGTGTAGGTTTATTTGAATAAGACTTACAAGAGTTTCTTTATGTTTACTCTGGGGTTTGCGGCCTCTGTGCCATTGTGTCGTCAATGCCTTCTCGGACATCCGATTTTTCTTCCCGGCTTCGCTTCTAGCCAAGAAAGTCGGATCCGAAGACCAGTGGCGGACGAGGTTTTCCCATACCTCATCCGAACACCATTGAGGCCTTACCCCACTGGCTCGGGCACGCCTAAAAGTGGGGCGAAGCCAGTTTGAAACTCTGGCATTGTACGCCCTTAGAATAGCGGGGCCTTGTTCTTCAGTCCAGCGAAACCGGGCCTTTATTAAAAAAATAAATTAACTTATCATTTGTCAAATTTTATGTTACATCAATGACGAAAAATTGATTCTTTTACCTTGAACAAGTTCCACCAAAGTTCACGGACCTTAGGATCAACATCCGTGTACGTCGCCCAGTTGCCAAGAAAGTGTCCACCAATTATGATTTTGATTTGGTTGAGCACATCTTGATCGCTTCAAAAAATTAATATTTTTTTATAGTTCATTAAAAAAATTATTTAATTATTTGACATTAGATAAAATTATTTGACATTAGATAAAATTCATAGTTACTTACTTAGCAACCATGTGAGGTGTCACCCATTCGGAATCTTCATTGTTGCGCTCGGCTTGGGTTAAGGGCGCATAGTTCGGGCGAGCACGGGATGTGGATTGTTCATTGCTCATCTAAAATAATTGATTAATGAGGAGTATTAATTTACATTTTCAAATAATTGTGTAAATATAATAGAAGATCAAATTTTGATTTAAATAAAGACAGTTTTTTAAAGGCAGTTTTTAAAAAGCGGTTTTTTATAAAGCAGTTTTTTTATAAAGCAGTTTTTTTATTAAGCAGTTTTTTTATTAAACAGTTTTTTATTAAACAGTGTTTTATTAAACAGTGTTTTAGAAAACAGTGTTTTAGAAAACAGTTTTTTAGAAAACAGTTTTTTAGAAAACAGTTTTTTATAAAACAGTTTTTTATAAAACAGTTTTTTATAAAACAGTTTTTTATTTTTTTATAAAACAGTTTTTAAGAACTGTTTTTTATGTCTACCTCAGCATTTTATAATTATTAACATGTTAAACTTTTTTGGAAGTTTGACATGAGGGGGTATTTTGTTTAATTACTTCGGGAAACTTTTTAATTAAAACGGCTTTATTTATTAAACAGTGTTTTTTCATAGTGTATATTTTATATTAAATTTTTGAGAAAACTGTTTTTTAATGTCTAACTTATTATTTTATAATTATTAACATGTTAAACTTTTTTGGAAGTTTGACATGAGGGGGTATTTTTTTAATTACTTCGGGAAAACTTTTTAATTAAAACGATTTATTTAATAAACACTGTTTTTTCATAGTGTATATTTTATATTAAATTTGAGAAAACTGTTTTTTAATGTCTAACTTAATATTTTATAATTATTGACATGTTAAACTTTTTTGGAAGTTTGACATGAGGGGGTGTTTTTTCATGTCTAACTTAATATTTAATAATTAACATGTTAAACGTTTTTGGAGGTTTAACACGAGGGGGTATTTCTTTAATTATTTGGGAATATGATGTAAATAGGCTTACATATTAATTAAACTAACTCATGTTCTTTAATTCATAAGTCTGAAATTAAAAAAGATATTATTTAATCATGCATGTTTAACTTATAATGAAATTTTATGTAGGCATACATATTAATTAAACTTATACACAACCAATATAGGCATGCCAATTAATCATATATACAAACTAAATCATGTTATATTGAGCATATAGAACATGTAATAAACTGAATCATGTCAATTATATTGAGCATATAGAACATGTAATTAAACTTGTACACAACAAATAAAGGCATGTCAATTAAACATATATACAAACTAAATCATGTTATCTTGAGCATATAGAACATGTAATAAACTGAACATATTAACATGTATTTCGAAAAAACGTGTGCTAAACATGTATTTCAAAAAAACGTGTGCTTCTAATATTAATTGATAACATGCATACAAAAATGAATTTCATAACATGTACAGAAAACAAGTATTTCGAAAACTAAATTATATTTCAATTCTAAAATTAAAGCAATATTATAAACTAAATGAAATTATATTTCGAAATCATATTACTCCACATGCATCAATTTGAGATACTAACTAAAATCAAATTACATATACATAAATCAATTTGAACATATTAACTAAATCATATTAAACAATTTGAGAATAATGGGAACACACTTATCGTAACATGCATTTTTAAAATAAAAATCAAATACTACAAATAAGAATTAAAGGTAAATCAAATTTAGAATACATAACCTTTATGAAAAAGGAAGGAGGCGGCTGACAGTGGCAGTAGACGGCGGCGGCTAACGGCGGCGGCGAACGGCGGCAGCGAAAGGCGGCAGCGAACGGCGGCAGCGAACGGCGGCAGCGAACGGCGGCAGCGAACGGCGGCAGCGAACGGCGGCAGCGAACGGTGGCAGCGAACGGTTGAAGGCAGAGTTGGAGTTGAGATCGGTGGAGTGTAGAGGGAGATATTAAGGATTTAGGGTTTTGACCTGAAAGGAATGCGGAATGAAAAATCAGCTAAGTGTTGATTTTATATGAAGGCGTAGTCACGGACCTAGTCACGGATAATCCGTGACTAGCCGTCGTAAATAACGAAGTCAGACGCGCGGCAGACGAGGTGTCAGGGCCGCCTTTGACCGCCTTAGTCACGGACGGTCCGTGACTAGGTCCGTGACTAATTCAAAAAAATTTGAATTAGTCACGGACCTAGTCACAGACCTGTACGGTTTTTTGAATCATTCACGGATCTAGTCACGGACCGTCCGTGACTAAATACTTTCCAACCGTTCAACACGCGCAGCCCGGCGTCAGACCACAGTGGAATAAATTCCACTTTATTATATTCGATTTTTGAGTATAAATAGATGATTCCCGGTCCAATGTTTGTGAAAAAAATGGCTAATCGAGAACCAATTGACTGAGATTCGATGTGCAGAGCTATGAAACGACTCAAGCTAATTACACAGCTTATGGAGCCGAAAACCGTTGAAGCATACCAGAGAATCACGGAGTTGATGGCTAGACCCCTTGAAAGTTTTGGCGACTATAAAGATGAGGAATCCGACTCACTCGGCAAGTCAAAAGCAAACAACTTGTGTCGGATGCTTCAACATGCAGAAGAATGTTCGGAGTATATGTATCCGATCAACGAAGAAGCTGAAAGGAAAATTCACGAGTTGTTGGCTAGGCCTCTTGAAAGTTTTGATATTGATGAATAATTTTGTATTTGTTTGTTTGGTTATTATGATAAATAAATTATTAATGTTTCGTTAGTTGATTGTGATAAAAAATTTGTGCGTTTCGTACTTATCTTTTACGGAGTAATAATGATGAAGAAAAAAACCAAATATTGTTGGACTAAAATAATAATGAAGAAAAGAGTACAAATATTCGAACTCAAAAAAATTGTAATACAACAATACAATTAGTCACTATCAGAGTCATTATTTTCTACATATACAACATCTTCTTCTGTATCAGAACCGTCTATCCATTCTCCTTCTTCCTGATAATAAGCATTTTGTTGTTCTTCATGCATTTCAACAATTTCACGCTCAGATGGAATTGTTAGGTCCGGAAGGTGCTGTAATACCCGAGATTAATTTAAGAGGATTAATAGTACTACTCATACCAATAGAGGTGCATCTCCTTTTAAGGGAGCTCATCACCCAAGAACTCCAAAGTTAAGCGTGCTTGCACGGGAGTAGTCTTGGGATGGGTGACCCCCTGGGAAGTTTCTCAGGGCGCGCATGAGTGAGGACAAAGTGCGCGGTAAAGGCTCGTGGTGGTTTGTGGGGACAGTACTAGAGGTCTAGAGTAACTACCTTGGGGCCTACGGGGCCGGGGTGTTACAGGTGGTATCAGAGCAACCCTGCGACAGTGTGCTGACCCGTTAGATATCGGGCGGGCACTTAGCGGGGCAAGATTCTGGGGTTTTATTGAGATTGGTTTAAGGGCGCAACGAGGACGTTGCGATCCTAAGTGGGGGTGATTGTAATACCCGAGATTAATTTAAGAGGATTAATAGTACTACTCATACCAATAGAGGTGCATCTCCTTTTAAGGGAGCTCATCACCCAAGAACTCCAAAGTTAAGCGTGCTTGCACGGGAGTAGTCTTGGGATGGGTGACCCCCTGGAAAGTTTCTCAGGGCGCGCATGAGTGAGGACAAAGTGCGCGGTAAAGGCTCGTGGTGGTTTGTGGGGACAGTACTAGAGGTCTAGAGTAACTACCTCGGGGCCTACGGGGCCGGGGTGTTACAGGTGCGTTTCTGGCATGACTTCAACGTGTGCCTTGTTGGTCACTTTCTTTTTCAACTCTCCAAGAAATTTGCAAAGTAAAATAAAAGTGGTACACAGATTAATGTTGTTATGAAATAAATATTCAAAGATAAATGAAATTGTGACTAACCTTTCAAATCTGTACATCCAGCGATAGAAGACGGGTCCACCATTTAAAGCCTCATACGGAAGATGTATTACAAGATGTTCCATTCCATCGAAAAACGACGGAGGCATTATCTTTTCCAAATTACACATCAGCATGGGAACAGACTCTTCTAGTCTACGGAGGGATGCTGCATCCAAAACGCTTGAGCATATCGACTGAAACAACAAACTGATCTCAGTAATGCAGGACCATACGTGTTCAGGAAGCATCTCTTTCAGTGCAATTGGGAGAAGTCTTTGCATGATTACATGACAATCGTGAGTTTTCATGCTCGACGTCGTTGCAAGTTTGTCTATGTCCACGCATCTGGACAAGTTGGAGCAGTAGCCATCTGGAAACTTCAGAGACACAAGCCATTGTAATATTGATTCTTTTTGTGCTTGTGTGACTTGGTAGACTGCTTTTGGAATATTGTTGCCCTGATATTCTAGATCAATAGATAGTTCAGGCCTATCACACCAAATAGTCATATCTTTTCGAGATGCAAGACCGTCTTTAGTTTTACCTTTGAAATCCATCACTGTGTTAAATATATTGTCAAACACGTTCTTCTCAGTGTGCATGACATCTATATTGTGACGAATGAGAAGGTCTTTCCAATATGGTAACTCCCAAAAGATACTCCTCTTTGTCCACTTATGGGTATCACAAAACCCATATGGCTTCTTATTTGGTTCTTGCATAACCGTAGGAATACGTCGAACCCGGTTAAAAATTGCTTCATCGGTCAATCTCGGGGGCGGGGTGTCTTTTACCACTCTACCTCTAATGAAAGACTTTTTGTCCCTTCGATATCGGTGGTTTTCCGGGAGAAACTTGCGGTGACAATCAAAGTAGCTTGGTTTTTTACTGAAAGCTAGCCAATTGACACCTGATTTTTCCATGCATATCGGACATCCCATAAGACCATGTGTGCTCCATCCCGAAAGCATGCCATAGGCAGGGAAGTCGCTAATGGTCCAAATGATGTCCAAAGGGTGAGACATCATACCCTCTTTTGTTTCGTGCTCAACATGCCATGTCATGTGTTTCGCAGTAGCAGTCGAAGCGTACATCCTCTGAAGTCGTGGAGCTATTGGGAGGTAATACAGTTTAGACAATGCCGACTTATTTCGTGGTTTCTTTCTACTTTGAGGAACTGGTTTGTATCTGTTTCCACCACAGA